AAATTACATAAAAGATGAGAACTTTTAAATAGTTGATTTGATATTAACATTGATATATTTTTTTTTTCAAATTTTTATAATATTTTCAAATTTATATTTTATTCAAAAATAAAATCATTATTGTTTTCTTAAAAACACATAAAATCGTTTTATAACATCGAGATATGTCTCGCTGTATTGTGCGGATACTCTTCTAGTGTATATATATATATATATGTGTGTGTGTGTGTGTGTGTGTATTAGGGGTGCTCAAAAACCCGACCAACCCAACCCAAAGCGAAATAACCCAACCCGAAGTAATTCGATGTCTAATCGAGTTGTAAAATTGTCAAACCGTAGGTATTGGGTTGATATTGGGTTACTATTATTTGAACCCAACCCAACCCGATGAACCCAATATCCTTCTATTTCTTGAATTTAATATGATTGTTGAATTTCTATTAATACATACATTAGACAATTACACTATCATGTATGCTTTTCATATACACATATTTTCAATCTATTCATATCTCTATATAACTCATTCAGTAACTGTGAACATATATATGTAAATTGAGAAAATTAACTGAATGTGATATACGTAAGAAATATGAATAAGTTGTATCAAATGGTTGATGATGAAAAAGAAATTATGAGTAGAGAAATAACATATTCAAGGTTAGAAGAATATTTTAATATACCAAAGTATCAACCCGACCAACCCGGACGGGTTGAGTTGGTTTGCACTTTGGTTTGGGTTGGGTTGGGTTAAGATTTTTCCAAACCGCAAACATTGGGTTGGGTTGTTCAAATGTCATCAACCCGATAACCCAACCCTTGAATACCCCTAGTGTGTATTATTAATATATAACAATGGTAAGTGTTTGGATCATTTCTTTTGATTAGTCATAAGAATATAGGTTTGAAATATTGCTAAGAATAGAATTAAAAATGAATATTAAAATTTAATTAAATGAACATACCTTAAATTGATGATGAATGGAAGTATTTGTGGTGGTATTACTGAAAATTGCGTTACTCCCACCACCACCACCAACAGGCATGAGTTTTGGGAGGTTAGAAAGATAGAGTTTATGCAAATGAGGGAAGAAACCATTGCTTGTGTTGGCAGATGTAGATACAACCCTAACTTCATCTTCATCGTCTCTGTTTGAAACAACTTCTTCAATACCATCACAAGATGTAATGTAAATTAGCTCTAGGTTGGAGAGAAGTTTGGCCATGAGAGGTGAAAACAGATACTTTATGTTGTCGCATCGATGAAGATATATGTTTGCGAGGTTGTGGAATGAGGAGAATCCTTCTGGTTGTTGTTTTTGAGGAATTAAGAATTTATTCCAATTGCACCTCCACACATGACTCATACACTCCATATTTGATAATTCTAAATCTGTGAGGTAGGGAAGAAGCAGTGATCGTTGAGTATTCTGCAAAGTTGTTGCTATTTCTCTATTACTTGGAGTCTTTATCTCAAACACCTCCTCTGCTCTTTTACGATGATGTATATAAAGTTTACGGATGTGATGAAAAGTGTGAATGACTTTGGATGAAAATACAACAGCATCACCAACTTCTGATATCTCTTCATTGGACGTCACATTAATCTGTATATGCGTATCCCAACAACAAATGTAGTTAATAACTTTCATGAAACAAAAGAAAAAATTTCGGAGATTAGAAGAAATGGAGAGTTTAATTAATAAGCAAAAGAAGAGTCAAAGTTGGTAACTATTTTAATTAATAAGCAAAAGAAGTTAATTAAATAGAATACGAAGGCCATGCATACATACCTCATCGCACTCATCGTATCCACGATCAATTTGAAGCATTGAAAGTGCTCGCATATCAATATTGGTGGTGGTAGGTGTGAATACATTTCTAAACCTCTTACACCTGTCTATGTTTAAGATTTCAACATTTTCAAAGCCACTGATGATGAGACTAGAGTTATTTGCACCTTTTACTCTCACCACTTCTCTTAGGTTCCCTAAATAACACACTACAATGGTTCTC